CTATACATACTCCTAGACCCCATTGTCCTCCTAGACAATGTTGTCACAACTCTGCTTTTCAATTGAAAACAGATATCATCTTTAGACACATTTGTCATGTTTAGAGGCTCTAGCACGTCATTTCTCGACCCGCTCTTTCGTTTGATCCCAAAAAAACATTCATATCTTGTCTGGCATCTCTGCGACAAACTCTGGCCATCAACTCTGGTTTTCAGTTGAAATTGGAATTGTTAATTTACCAATAATAGGATGTGCATTGACGATTTTTTCTTGACTCGCAAAAATCTTCAAACAATTTTGCTACCGATTGGTGATAACATTTTTTGAAAATAATGAAATAGGGGGATAACGCCTTTTTTTTCAGAGGGTGATTTTTCGAAAAATTTATTTTAAAAAAAGTACTAACTAGCAAATGTTTTTTATTAGCTCGCAATTTTTTTCAAAACTACTTCATGAGGAAAAAAATTAAAAATTTGAATATCTATACATGAGGGGCTAATTGATCGGATCTGGGTGAACGTTGAGTCCAACTATTTAAGCGACGGGCTATTGAGAACTCTCAAAAGTATGTGGAAAAAGTGAAAACTGACAAACTGTTTTTTTTTTGCCCCAGCCAAAGGGTCAGATTTTCGGGTTTTCCGGGGCAAGTGGATTTTCGACAAAATCGAATTTTTTAGCCGGGTGAACGTTTATTCCAACTATTTAAGCGCCGGGCTAGTCAGAACTCTCAAAAGTATATGGAAGAAGTGTAAACTGAAAAAGTTTTTTTTTTTCAAATTTTCAAAGGGTCAGATTTTTCGTTTTTCTCGAGAGAAAGTCGACTTTCGGCAAAATCGAATTTTTTAGCCGGGTGAACGTTGATTCCAACTATTTAAGCGACGGACTATTCAGAACTCTCAAAAGTATGTGGAAAAATTGAAAACTGAAAAAAAAATTTTTCATCGGCGGCCACAGGGTCAGATTTTCAGTTTTTACTTGGAACAAGGGTCAGATTTGTTAACACTTTCTTTTTTTATTTGGACAATGCATGCAAGCGGAGGGGCAAGAGTGGCTAGAATAGATTCTGCAACCTTCTCCGCTTGTTGGATAAAAATGTCAAGCCTCCGCATACATGCATCTCCCCTCCACCCTCCCGTGAAATGTCGATTTTCGAGATTAAAAAAAAAACAATAATTGCATTTTTTATTTCAATAACGCATGAGTAAATAGGGATATGAACGCAGATTTAATATAGGCCCATAGAATTACGGGGACCGGCAAGGATTTGGAAAGTCTGAATGCAAGTCCTGCTTACACCTAACAAGTGCTGAAGTGGGACATAACCAGAGGTAGAAAGGTCTCGGAAGCACTTGGGAAGAGGCTTCCCAAGACCTATCCAGTTCTGAACGGAAAGACCTAAGTAGAATTTGTCAGGTCCAATTATTCGACTCGGGTTGTTCGTTAGTGCTGTTACGTTCCACGAGTGACGAACTGTTCTTTTTTCGTTTGCAAGTCAACAAAAAGACTTTTCCTTTATGAATTAATGCAAGTCCAATCAATAATTCGTCGTTTGGCTAATATAAAATTCAACTCACCTTTAACAAAGCTCCCCTTCTCAATAGTAATAGAATTCAGCACCCCATTATTGCACCCGGGCTGATTTTTTCCCCCATTAGGATAGAAATCAATGTGCCCAACAGGCTGACTAATCCCCAGCCCCCCAGTCATGAATGGACTCGAGTCAGTGTGTATCGCAGTCACGAAATCTGCATCAGTCGGATCAAGTCTCACCATCGGCGAGGTATTACTGAAATGCGGCTCAGCGGGGTCGAGACCTAATCGACAAATCAATAGTTTCATTTTACTTCTCTCACATGTTTCAATAAAAGTTGGGGGATAGGGATCCGAAGGGTGCCACTTCTTAACCCCACGTGTTCTCTTACTACGGCTGTTTACCCCAGACTTGTCTTCGGGCGGGTCCAAGGGCGTGGCAGCGCTGTTGTTTGCTCCCCACGTGGTCCAGGATATCATCTATTATTCATGGAAGAATCCCCATTCGCCTTCGAGACATCCCCGTCATTCACGGGCTCATCCCATTGCATTTCAGAATGAATCCTCTTGCGCAAAAATTTTCAGAGTCGTTGACAGTGATTTGGAATCATGAGCAGGGATAGCCATATTCATAAATCATAATTACCCTTCAATTTTGAAGCCGTCAATTAGTTAACATCACTCTTGAACTTTTAATTATTTACGTAATCATCAATTTAAATATTCAAATTTTGAACTATTTTATTAATCAATAATTTAGGTACACTGATAGAATGATTCATTTATTCCAAACGAGATTCGTTAACAATTAACGAATGGTAGACTTTAGCCCGGTAGCTTGGCGCAGTGGGTAAGTTCGTACTGAAGTGCTTTTTTTTCCCCATGTTCATATAAAGCAACCCCTTGCTCTCTTTTTTTTTTTAAGCACATAAACTCTGTTAAATATGAAAATAATTCGAAGAATTATAACTACAAAATGATACACTGTTATAACACACATAATATGTTCTACAAAATACTGATTAAGCTCGAGAGTCAATAATACTTGACCAAAGTTTATGTACCAAACAAAATATCTCTCATTATAATTTTTTTCAAGACTGATTTTTGATATATGTAAATACTCTATATATGTAAATATTGTTGGACTTCAAATAAAAACATAGTGAAACAAAAAAAAAGTGGGTAAGTTCGTTGCCTCACATGCGAAAGGTTCCGAGTTCAAATCCCGGCCGGGTAGAATGGTGCGATCTAACCATTTAAAGTCTTGATCATCATCGCAGTATACCCTAACCAGTTCGACGCGATGTAAAATAACGATAAAAAAAAAGAATGGTAGAGTTGAATATGACCAAAAAAATATTCGTTAATAGTTAACGAATTGCTCACTTGAAAGGTGAAAGTCCAGTCAATCAAGGCTTCCCAAATATGCATTTGTTAACTATTAACGACTGAACATTTGGTGAGACCGAATACACCCTAGACCCGAACCAAATGCATTTATTAACAATAACTAATCCTTTCTATCAGTGTAGGAAGATTGCCGAAAAAATATTCACTTACTAGAAAATTTAGTGTTCTACACTATCAAATATTTCATTCATCATCAATCGGAAATTTAAACTATTAATATTCTATTATTTTTAAATTTCCATAAGTATATTTAAACATTTATCAATGTAAGTCGCAAATCCTTTTAATGCTGAAGAAATATAATATTGATGGCCATCCCTGATCATCCGGAGACAGTGGAATTCCGATTTTAGAATATTGAAAAGTGGACTGCTGTTGCTGGCGGAAACTGGCGGCATGATCAATAGAATTTTAATGTTCCCACGATTCCTTTTTTACCCTCATCCACCTTCTGCTACCCTGGTAGTTCTCGATGGGATCGATAGCTCGTGCGGAACCACCCTGACTCAGCTGGTGGTGTAAGGTTCAGACATAATTATCGAATAGTCTCCCTACCAACCAGTCGAACCGCACGATAGGGGTGTGGCTATTGATCAACTCTATCCCCTGAACCCTTTCATGGTCGAAGAAACTCCCCATTTCTGATCAGCCGATGTTATCGGATGTTGAGTTGAACTTACCTGTTATCCTTCCCAGACGATAGCCGTACTGCGATCGAAGGTGATGGCCCAGGTATCCGCAGGTATGGGCACCGAGACTGTGGCCAATCGCATGGATACGTCGCGGCTGTACTCCACCCACTTCTATCAGCTGCAATGCTAGTCTTGCTGTCATTGCACCCACCAGACGCGTGTTAGCTACCGCCTGGGGGTAGGGTGGCCCAGCACCACCAATCCAGTTTACCACTATCACATTGCAATCTTCCCGCAGTAGCAACTCTTGTTTCGCTCGCTGAATCGAAAATTGACATCGTCAAATCGTGATTTTATATGGCTTCTTGAGGATTAGAGGGGAGTGGTGGCGAGGTTCTTGATCGGATAGGTCTTGCTATACCGTTGGAAAATAGTATATTGTGTTACTAGTGCGTGAATTCCACTTTTTCATACGCACAGGTAACATATTCTATTTTTTGTGGTACACGGAGAGAAATTTTTTAGAAAAATTCTAGTGCTAGCACGGGAAAAGAGGCGCAAAGTGCCGGCCAAGAAAAAATTCTAGTGCCAGCACTAGAAATTTTATTGGGGAAAACGTGAATTTTCCCCGCATTTCTGTCAAAATTGCATAGAAATCCCCAGAAATTTTACCAGAAATACCAAGGAATTTTACCTTAACAGCACTAGAATTTTTCACAGCCGGTGGATTGTAATTTTTTCTAGTACTTGTACTAAAATTTTTCTAGAAAATTTCTCTCCGTGTACCTGCCGAGTTCACTATTCGGAACGGTAGTGGGGGTATGGTGCACGGAGAGAATCAAATAGTACATATTACCACAGCCGTAGGGGAGATTACTGCGGTAATATAGTAAAAGGGTTTTCAACTGGTCCTACAAAGTAATGCTTACTATGTTCCATAGTAATACTTATTATGTTCCGTAGTAATACTTACTATGTTAACATAGTAGGGGAGGCTTGGGCAAAATGGGACGTGTTGAGATCTTGTCCAATTATCATTATCTTTATTTATAAGCGAAAGTATTGATAATTAGAAAAGATCCCGAAACGTCCCATTTTGCCTAACTCTCCCCTAAGTATTACTATGTTCTATAATAATACTTATGTTATTATGTTATGTTACTGTGTTATTGACATAGGAAGCATTACTACGTATATGGTAACAAGGCAACGCGTACTATTTTGTCATAGTAATTATTGCTACATCCATAGTACCTATTACCATTGAGGAGCTTACTATGCCCCATATAGTAACCATTACAATGTTCCATGGTAGTCATTATCATGTCCATAGTAATACTTATAAAACTTTGGTAACGTTTTAATATGTGCGGATTCCGCCGTGGTAATCTTTACTATTGTATTTTCATATTTATTTTTTTAACAGTTATTTTTCATCTTCAGGGGCATGTCATTGGTTTTTAGGAATATGTCACAGATTTCCCGAAATTTACCCTGAATTAAGCAATTCGCGATTATCAAGTAACAGTGAATGCAAAATTCTGAAATTCCACGATTTTGCCACCAATTTTCAGAGACATTATCAGTTATTTCATATCACATGGTCACTAATTTTGAGAGCAATGTAATTGATTTTCAGGAACTCATCTCCAATTCTCGGAGTAATGTCACCGATTTTCCAGACCCTATCACTAATGTTGAGAAAATCTCTCACTAAATTTCAGTGATAAACATCACTAACGATCAGGCTCATTCCGCAATGAGTGTCCAGTATCGCCAAAAATTGGTGATAAATTCCTAAAAATCCGTGACATGTCCCTGAAAATCAAAACTTCTTTCTCTGTGCAAAAAAGTCATAATATAAGACAAAGAACCATAAACAAGTCATGATGTGTTAGTATACTATTTCCAAATGGGTAAAGACTTCATAGATAATTACCAAAATCCAAGATTTGTCTCCATTGTCGAGATACCCATGAATAATGAAATATGTGGTCAGGGTGTTGTTCAACGGTGATGTTTTAATGGAATTGAAGTCATCTATCAGTAATTCATGAGGCGAAGGGCTCCCTCTTGTGTATAGTAGATAATGAGGATCGACACTGTCGGGACGCCCTGGGAAGGTGGACACTGGACGATTCTCACCCGACCAAGGTGCCCCGATGTAGAAGCAACCGTAGGGGCGATAGCATCGCCACATATACCACTCTGAAAATTAATGTTTTTTTCATCGACTATTGAATAAGCTGACTGACGTCAATGACTCTGTGGTCCCTTTTAAAAAAATTCATGTGACGCTTTCTCTCACATATCTATTCTGCGCAATTTTTTTTACCATGTTGTTATCTAAGAAAAGCAGTCTTTATTTACAATATTTACGTACCTTAAAAACTAGTATCAAGAAAAGGTGCTATGAACACTATTTTATGAAATATGTAAACTTTGGCCAGGAGTGACTCTCGAGTTTATTGATTATCGTAGAATTTTCGTTTGACGCTTAAAAAAATTTTTTTTTTGAGTTTTCGTGAATGTAGGATCAGCGAACTCGGTGCAAAATGAATAGTGAATTTTTCTCCGTTGACCCGGGAAAATTGACTAAACGTGAGATTAATTTGTGCCGAAACTGTAAAATTTACCCTGCATTCCATAAAAATGATCACCGTAGTGAATGTGATTGATTGTGTGAATGAACGCGTTCAGTAATATTTCACTTCCATTCATTCTCATGACCTTCAGATGGGTGCAAGAAACAAAAATACCCTACCGGTGTGGGAAATTTTACTGTACAGGAGGATAATTTTTATCCCTATAAATATATTTTTTTACTGAACGAATCGTACAATTTTTTTCAGTTGTAATACTTCGAGATCTTTAAAATTATGGGGTATTTCCCGATAGCTTCGTTGATTTTTCTGTAAAACGCGGCACGATCGTTTATTTGCTGGGGGACTTGAGGGAAATACCCTCGAGGGGTATTTGTCGGATTAGTTTTCCCAATCTGATTTTGACCAATCAGAGTGCAGTAGATAACATCAAGAGGTAAATTATGGAAGATATAAACAAATTATGCTAATAGAATAACCCGATTTCCGTAGCCTGTCAAACACAAGATTCGATCTGAAAAGAGTCGAAAAAATGAAGAGCCACTACGAAAAATTCAAAAGCTAGGAGGAAATATCCGAAATAAAACTGTTCCGCAGCCTCAAATGCTGCGCTCTGATTGATCGAAATCCGATTGGGAAAAATAATCACTGAATTACATTTCGCTCCACCTCTACCTTTCATACACTAAAATTTTCCACGATTTTCTAGGTAATTTTTATCCAACTTTTCTCTTCGTGCAGACAAACTCATGTCATTCTGTTTACATCAACGATTTCTTCGAAATTTGAAACACGTGCTACGACATGCAGTGTGTCACATTGCCATCTGGACCGAGGTTATCAAAGAGTAGCAGATAAACCTACGTGTCCTCGAGTTCACTCCTGTTATGTCTCCGCGGAGATTAACGTTTAGCCGTTCTCAGATGATCGATCGATCACTCTAAGCAATAAAAGTAGACGGGAGGAGGAGTTCCACCAGTGCAAAAGTCGTTCCCTATCACGGCCTCGCGTACTTTCCGACAAAATACTCACCATCTTCCAAATCAAAATTGTTCGCTGCCTCCTCCGGTGACAAAGTCGTCGTCGTTACATTATGGAGTTTGACCCCAACCTCGGAACTCCGGCTCTTGGTCTCATTAGACAACGTAGCCATCATGCCCGCTGTGTACGTCAACACGAGTAATGTGTCGTTAAAAAACATCTTCAATCCAGAAAAATCTCTTCCTCCTAATGTATCACAATCTAATCGATTAATCACAGTTCAGTTTCACTACTCTATTCGTCTCCACCTCTCATTCATTTACATTGTCACGGTCTCAATGTGCACCAAATATCACTCACTGTCTCATCCCACTCTCAGACTAAATCCGGGCCATTAACGATAGTCGATTAAAGCTCGGCGATAAGAATGAAAATGGAAAAACCGATTGACGCAAATGTCTGGCCAGACTCGTGATAAGCACGTTGATACTTCTGGACTGTCAACAAATTCAATGATACATCAGAGCGATCAAAGATTTAATGAGTTCAAAGACTGTTAAATCAGCAGTTGGTTCCTCTCCCCTTGACCAGCCATTAGCGACTGCTCACTTCTCACAAAAATCCGACGTCAAACCAGCTCGCCAAGAGTTCATCCCTTCCCATCATCAAACCAGCATCTTTGAACTATATTGACGTTGAAGTAAGCTCAGATAAGTCAAAGCGATACTGACGTACGAGGAGGGGAAACGGTAGATGAATAATTATTCTCCAACGGATGGCGACAAACGCCTTGAGTAACGAGTCTCCATCAAAGGCAGCCGACAGCATCTTTTTTACAGAACGTCTGGCTTCTCAGAAATCTGTCAAACGTCTTTTTCATCGTCTTCCTCCTCTAATGATCGCGTGTTTGAGCTCATTCACCTTATTCTGTTTTTTTCCCAGACAACTGGAGCAATTATCCACCGCAGGGAGTACGAAAGGTCTGTAGAGTTGGGCGCAGTGATGCCACGAGACACTACGAGACAAAACTTTGGAAAGATGATCTCGGTCTCAATGAACATAGAAATCTTTGCTCTCGTGTCAGTCTCGAAATACGCACTATCGCCTCCTCTATGATGACTCTGGGTTAATTGATCTCATCTCGGTCTTAAGTTTTTCGTGGTTTTTTATATAAAATCTCGGTTTTGTCTCGGCTTGTCTCGTCTCAGTTTTCTACATATAAAAACGCGGAAAACTGGAAGCCGAAATGAGATAAATTGACTCGGAGTCATCACGAGAAGAGTCGATACTGCGTATTTCAAGACTGACACGAGATAAAAAATTTCCGTGTTCACTAAGAACGAGACAATCCCTCCAAAGTATTGTCTCATGAAATGTCTCGCGGCATCACTAGTTGGGCGTTCGGCAACTGGACAGCTGCACCTTTTACAGACCTACGGATGAACAACCCTATTAAATACAAGTCCACCTGCACAGCTGCACCTTTTACACGCCCACCAAGCGACATCCCAACCCAAATGATTTGAATTTTTACAACTCTCCCCACCGAGGAGAGGTTTCACAGGTATTAGAGCTGTGAGACACCCCCGGTTTTCAACCATGTAGTGCGTAATTTATTCTTTAATCCATCGAATATGATCAAGATTCATAGAAAATGCATTTTTTAATCAATTTAAATGCCGGGAACCCTCTGGAATAAGACTGTATGGGGTGAATTACGCGAAATAATGACTCGGTAGTTTTAAGAGAGATATGATATTTGAAATTTCTGCAAGAAAAAATGTCACACAATGCATGAAGAAATATTTAAGCACATCGGATATCGATTTCGATCTGTTTTTACCAGTATCCGCACTTTTCGGAACCATTGCACCCTCTATAATTGACTCAAAATTACATTTTTATCATCTCTGCATATTATGGATTTGAGTGAGAAAAAAAATAGACACTAGCACGCGATTGGTCGGTCGGTCGATTTCCAAGTTCCGAGAAGCTTGTTCCTCATTGGGGATGTAAATTTCTAAAACTACTGCACCGTTAGTAATTTTTCGAAATTTCATGGAAAATGTATAGTACAGTAATTTTCATGGGAGTGACATTGAGACCGAATTAGGGGAAAAATAGTTATGAAATTTCAAGCTTTAGGTAGAATTCAAGGAAATTTATGAGTTTTCAGTGGCAGTGAAACACACATTTTACAAATTGACTGAATTTTCAATGGAACATGATTATTCAGAAACAAAATTACATGAATTTTCACTTTTTCCCTCAATTTCCATGATTTTTGGGAATTTTCACGGAATAATTGAACTAAAAAATCACGTATTTTATTGATTTTCAGATCATTTAAATAGAAAATCAATGGAATATTTTATTTTTCAATAACGCAATGTCCTGAAATTTCACTGGAAATTAGACACGATAAAAACTTACGGGATTCGACCTGGAAAATTCAAAAATAGAAATAAAAAAAATTTCACCGGGTTTTCTTTGCAAGGGTTAACTTGCCAACGCGCCCATCGCCCGAGGGCCTTCAGCCAGGGAATGTTTAATGTGGAGTGGATTTTTCAGTTAAAAATTCCGTGGAATATTCGGTTTGAAAATTGTGTTGAATTTTCAGTTGAATACTGGAAAATTGTGATGAAAAATTGCTGTGGAATTTTGGCGCGGCCGGGACTCGAACCTGGGAGCTTGAGGTTGTGAATCTCATGCTGCTACCAAGTGCGCCACACAGCCGGGTTAAAATACAAACATTTTTAACAGTGTGGCTAACGATGTCCTCTCGGTAGAGTTATAAAAATTCAAATCATTTGCGTTGGGACATCGCTTGATGGGCCTGTAAAAGGTGCAGTTGTACAGTTGTCGTCTACAGATTTGGGCGTTCTACCATTACGAGCATTTGGGGCGTCAGATGTTGGGGCATCGAGGGATCCTGTGTACACAATAGGCTTCGACGGGCGGGAAAAGCTTTTGTAATCCCCTCTTTCATACATACATACCCCCAGTAGTCCACCCCTCGGCCACTAAAAACCTCCACCGATACTATGATATCCTAGTACTTAGCACCCCCGAATGATTTCTTTGCCCAACAGTTGGAAAAAAAGCATTCCCCCGGGGGTTGTGAGCGAATGGAAAAATCAGCATTAAACTGAACCTAGCCTCCAACATCAACATCCCCTCAGCCAATCTCCTGACTACTCCTGTATCCTTGGTACATGTTACGTCTTTGTGTTGTTTCGTGGTTACTACAGGGACATAAGTACGAATATACTCACGTGTATTCCATCCCCTCAACATAGAAAATTACAAATGTGTATAACATTGTGGAATGAAAACAGAGGTGGAGCGATCGTGAGTATGAGTTTAACTGGGAGAAACAGAGGAAACTGGTTCCCCTCGGTGTCATTGACTGTGAAATACCTCAAGGCTCCTTTCGGTGTATTATACCTCACTCGTTCCTGTAATAAAGGGGGTAAAACCCGTTGTTGTTTTGCTTGTCCAGAATGTGTGGTGTTCAGCTGGGGGCCTGCTGCAAGACCCTCGAGGTCCCTCTGCTGACCACATGATTCCCTGTTACAACGCCCTATCGAATCCCCATTCATTTACATGAGCCAAGTGGAATGGACACCCTTTGTGCCTTAGGATAAGTGATCTTTGTCGGGTGGCTGTTGCTAGGCGAGAAAACCCGCCCGAGATTCAGCGAGTCGATACCGGGAAAATGGGTCTTCTTCGTTGGAAAAACATTCGCATTTCTCTTTTGACCTGAAAAAGTCAATTTAAATCGCGAAAAATAAACGCGAAAACCTCACGCCTCGCGTTTCTAACGTCTCAAGTCGTCTAAAATCGTGCTGTCTACATTCTGCGGTAATTTGTTCATGACTCAGACGAAAAAGGAAGAAAAATGACTGGTACTAGTGCTCAACCTTCGCCAGTACCTTTCACTCGCTCACTGGCTTTGGTATACATCAGGGAACCAGTTGCCCTTTACTCGCACTACCTCCATGAATTCCTGATCCCACCGACGACACGTGGACGTCTGGAGCCTTAACCCTTTCGTAATGCAACACTCCAGGCATGCCACGGTACATGTCAGACACATCTACTACACTTTTTTATTCCCCTTCGGCTTCTTCAATTCTTCTTTTTTACCCGCATTTTTCTGCTTTCCTGTTTTCTTTGGCTCCTCTTCAGTTTGTTGGGTGTAGTTGAGTGTTGTTGGGCAATCGGGAAATGTATGCTGGTGTGAATGTTGTTGTTAAACGTCGTGTAGTTGAGTTTTATGACAAAATATAGTTGGAAAAAAAACTTGTACAAAACAAACTTGATTTTTTCATCAGGGGAATATGAGTGAGAGGGAGAAGTACCGCTGCTGCGTTCACTTGCTCGATGTTCTGCGCACATTTTCCTGCGTTTACGATTACTCAATGAAAGGGAAAATATATTCAATGATATTTTTTTTTCAATTCGCATGGAAATTGAGTTAAAATATTTGTCAGTATTTTCTAGTTTTCGTTGTTTAGAAAAATATATTCTCTCCTTTATTCGGATAATTCGAGAGGCTCGCGTTGGCGAGTGCCTACAGGCCTGCAGCGTAAGTTAGGAAAAAAATGTGGAAGTGGAAGGCGTAAGGGCCAAACACGTGTATCTCCACACGGTGGGGAAAGAAGAATCACGTTCGTGGGCAGTCCCTAAACTACCAACGTGTGTTTATGATACCCTGTCGACGATGCCCTTTTCAACAAGTCCCTGGAGGGCCGAAGTGCGTTCACGCATTCACGTGTTATGGATCGTCTAATGAATTTTTATTCGGATCGCTGAAGCGTTACGCTCGCGATACAGTGCTTGTGTGGCGTGGAAACACTAGTGACCCATTTTAGTTTGGGCGTTATGCGCAAAAGGGAAATATCACGGTGACAACTATCCGGAGATTATATAGGTGTAATAGGTATATGCGTCGCGTGTGCACGCTTCATGACGCCCGTGGGCGGCCCCCTCACGGGAATTATTATTATGTTATTGGAATTATTATTTTTTGTGATGAAAAAATGTTGAGAAGTGGGGGGAATTTCTGCGGCATTTGTACAACGAGGCACACAAAAAACGTTGGGTTTAATTTAACTTTGCACTGTGAAAAATCCATGGTGTTCAAATCCATGGCGTGGGCAGAACGAATAAGAAAAGAAGTGAGAAATTGCTCGTGTTTTGTATATTGTATAGTCGTTTTTGGTAACGAATTAGCGAAATGCTTCACAATGGTTATTTTGCGCATCATTTCCTTCTATCACGTATAATTCATTGCTCAAAATCACAGGGGTCAGATTAAAGGACTAAATAAGGGTCATGGGGGTCAGATCCCAAGGGTCCAAAGAAGGGTCTCTTTATATTGTAAAAATCCAAGTCGACTTTTAGTGATGAAAATTTAGTGCTCGAAATTAAGACTCCCAAAATTAAGGATTTCGAAATGAAAGGCCAAAATAAGGATCACGGGGCTCAGTGTAGGAAAATACATTGTCGAAAGACTAATTTCAAAGTAAAATTGTCAAGTGGTCAGCCAACAGCATGTGGGCAAATTAAATTGCCTCTATTTCGTAAAGTA